CTAAAAAAGTTTTGTTTTTAACAAAAATCATCAATCAAATGAATAAATGACGAATAATTAATTAGTGGGATCATTGTTTATCTAATTTATTAGTAAAGACAGGAATTGGGTTAGGTGTTGGTATAGTCGCTTCAGCATTAATATTTAGAAGTAAGATTTATTTGAAAAAAAAAATATAGGAAGATATTATGAAAAATCTCTTTCCAATTAATTCTTTATTCGTTTGTATGTTTTAGAAAAATCATGGCCAATTACATTATCAACAGGATTTGGAGCAGGAGTAGCTTATGCTGAATGTCAAAGAATCTTTAATCCAATTGCTTTACCTGGTGTAAAAATAATTAAACAATCATCATCATCATCATCATCACCTTCTTCTCCGTCTTCTCCGCCTTCACCATCTATTTCACCATCATTAGCATCTTCATAATATTTGATGATAGTTGTGAAAACAGATAAAAAAAATTTTTTTTTGCTAGAAATTATTAATTAATTAAAAATACATCAACAATATTAACTATATAACTACACCTATTCAACTATTTTTTTATTACATGTACACACTCGTTATTATAAATAATTTATTGATGATATTTATAATCGTTGTTTAGAAACGAATTCATACTTTGAAAATGATGTTTTGAAAAAAAGATCAGCATTTTAAGATCTCATAAATTTCACTATTACTATGCAAAGCGAGTATGCCAAAAATGTTCAGAAATTGTATTAACTCAAAATTGCCTTTTAGGAGTATGGTTCGTTTCTATTCAAAAACCCCCCGTATGAGCAATTATAATGAACAGATCTGCAATTTATAGTTCACGCTCTATAACGGCCTTCCGTTCTCTGTTTGTTCGTTATTATTATAGAAAGAGAATTAAATCAGAAGTTCGTTATAGAGAGTGAACTGTATGATGAAAACATGTTTTAACGAATATATATATAACGTTGTACTTTTTTATAATCTCATTAGAAATCTTTTAAATTTCATGGTAGGGAATGCGAATCAATATTTTTAAACCGTACTTATTTATATTTTCCAGCAAATGCAGACTATAAAAAAGATCATCAAAATCGTGTAACGGTTAGTAAAAAAAAAAAAGTAAAAAAGCATTAAAAAAACATAATTGTAAACGAAAAATGGCAGATGAAGGCAAGAGCTATATTTAGGTTCAATCAGTAATAATTTTTACTTGATTTACTGCACTCGAATTTTTACCGTTATTTTTTTTTACAGAACAAATTATTCGTGATAGACTTGCAGTCGAAGAGCGTAGTCTTCGTCGAGTAGTTAAAAAACATGCATTGTTGATGAATTCATTAGAACAAGGAAATTTAAAAGAAGTGTGTGTATTTTAGTTGATAGAGATTGTTTTCAATAATAATAGAACTGGTTATTTTTTACAATATATTAAAGGACTATTATTTCTTGGTGATTTTTTTGAAATTAAAAGTCAACAATTATATAATGATTTTATTGTAGACTTTACTTCATATGAATTAACATTAACCCGTTTTCAAGCAATTCATAATGTAAATATCCAAGAAACTCAACATTGGTTAATGGAAGCTCGTAGGATTGGTAAATTATAAATAGATTAATTATAATTTCAAATATTCTAAAAAATATTTTATATATAATATTTTGGTGTTTTATAAAAAAAACTTTTAGAGCAAGAAATCGAGGCCACAAAAAAAGTTATCGAGAATTTAAAAATGAAGAAATTGACAATGACTTGGATTTCAATTATAATGACTATAATTATGATGGTGAAAATTATGATGATGATAATGATTTTGATGAATTTATTAATTTAGAAGATAGTAGTAGCAATCAAGAATCTATGAAGATATATAACATAAGTTTATTGCAATTAGTATTTCTTATAAATAAATATTCAAACCAAAATTGTTATCTTATTACATATTACATATTAGTGGTATATACCAACCAAAGGTATATACCATTTATACCCGGTATATACCCTACTAAAAAATTACACAAGAAATCAATTGTGGTATATACCATGGTATATACCAGGTATAAATATGGTATATACCCCTCAAATTATTTATAACATGTTATATACCATCCCTAGCGTCTGCGGCAGAGTTAGGCCTGTTGGAAGCCAGCAATGGCGAGTTGTCATCAAGAGGCAGCCGGCTGATTTTACTGCACAGAATAAGGAAGAGGATTGTTGAGTACAAAGGAGTCTGCAGCAGGGTTAAGCCTGTTGGAAGCCAGCAATGGCGAGTTGTCATCAAGAGACAGCTGGCTTTTGTAATCAGCAACCTGTTTCGATGATTGATTGATTGATTGATTTTGTCTAAGGCTTTACTAATAATGATTTCTGTCTTTTTTGCTTATGGCAAGATACTACCAACGAAGATGAAAAATGATCATAAGCTCCAACAGCAACACCTCTAGGTTTTTTCCACATGATTCACCCAGCACACCGATCCTGTGCAATTGATAAACTGAAGAAAGCATATTATTTGGTATTAGAAAAGTGTGAAATGATTCAAAACTCCAAACAATGAAGATTGATGTATATATTTAATGTGCTGACATTTTATTTTGTTCGCTTTAACTTTAAGCTATAGTATTTTCTAATGCCTGTTCTCTATTTCTATATAGGATTATACTATTCAACAAGATTGGGAGATCTGACTAAAAGAAAGAAAGGCTTTATGTTCAGTTATCACATACACTTTGAATTATGTTTACAATTGCCTAAGTTTCTGATTCAATCCATTTCGCCAACTTGTCTTGTGTATGATATGACTTTTGTTATTGCTATTTATTATTATTATCACTTTTTCATTTGCAATCAAAATATAGACAGTATTATATATTTACGAATTTAAAAATTTTTTCTTACAACACTATACCAACAACAAGTTCAGAAGACCCAAACATGAATTAATTTGATCAGCTTAATTCAATCAATGACTGACGAATTGCCCATGGGAAAGTTTAGTATGTCTATTATATAATTTTACATTTTAATATTGTGAATTTCATCCTTCAATATATGAAACATAGGCTCGTGAGCGAAATAGAAAAGATTATTCAATTCAAAATAGAATGGGTGTAAGGATGCACCTTTCCTACCTCCACAAACTCCAAGAGAGGTAATGAATAACATTTTTAATCTCTAATTAGGAAAATGCAATATTATTAATAAAATTAACTTTCCTAAGAAAATTATTGTAGATCGATTTGCAATTGTGAATACAACAAAAAGCAAAAATAATTAATTATATGGCCAAAGATCAAAAAAAAATAAAATAAAAATTTTGGTTTGAACTTTATATGATGAATTTAAATAAAGATCATACAATATAATTTAATATTCTCTTTTTTGAATTTTTTATTTTGTAAAAATTAAATATAAATCTATTAGAAATATAATAGTATATTAAAACATACTAATACAAAATTGTAATTCTAATTCTAATTTCATTCTACCATCTCATCATCTTCAATAACTCCCTCATCACTTTCTTCAATCGCTCCCTCATCATCATCGTCATCTGGTAATCCAACTTGTTTCTCCTCTATTGAACCTCCTCCTCCCTCATTTTCTTCATTCTCTCCTTTTTCGTTATTGTCGTCATCATTATGTTTGTCATCATCATCATCATCATCATCATCATGTCTATCATCATCATTTTCAACATCCTCTTCCTCTTCATCACCTGAAAAAGTTTCCTTTTTCCTTTTTACAGTAAAATTAGAATCTATTACATCTTCTACTATTTCATTACTGTCATCCTCACTGCTTTCTATTGCATCATTATCAATATCATCAGCAACAATATCATCACTTTCATCTTTGCTTGTAACAGTTGCGTCTTCGTTCATGCTATCACCAATTTCATCAGCAGCAGCTACATCATCTTCATCCATTCCAATTTCATCGGTAGCAGCTACATCATCTTCATCCATTTTTTCATTATTTTTATCACCTAATGTGTGGGAGCTTAGTATGCTTGTATCATCATCATTGTTATTATCATTGTTATTTGAAGGTTGGGCATCTAACATATTAACATCGTTTTGTATTAAGTTTGATGATGATATGTCATTTATATCATTCAACAATTGTTGAGGTGATAAATTTGGTGAATTATTTTCAACTGGCGAAATAAATTCACTTCTAACAGAAGATGGTGTATTGACATGTTCATCATTATCTTCAAGTATTTGTTCATACTGTTCTTTGTCATTTTGTATTTCTGTTTGAATTTCATTAACAACCAATAAAACCTTTTCTAATTGATTACTACGTTTTTCTAAAATACCACTAAGAAATTTGTCTTTTTCTTCAAGTATCAAAATTTCTTCATCCAATTTTACTATTTCGCTAAAATAAAAAATCATGATAATATTAATAATAATATTACTTTAAAATATATATATATATATATATATATATAAAACAAACTTTGTTGATTCTTCTCTTGATTTATGTTGATTGATTTCCATTGCCAAAGCATCATACTGTATTTTATT